GTCAAAACTAATATTGCTGTCATCTAACCCTGTTGCAGGTATTGGCAATGAACAATTATAAGAGTATCTTAGTGATGATACCCATTTCTGGCTACTAAAAGTATTCTTCTTTCGGTACCATTATATACATGTATGATTCCAATTTCAAACAACAACTAATAGTATAGAAATTTGCCAATGCAACGGCATCACTAGCTGACCACGTTTCTAAACCTTTTAACTACTCTGCATGCTCTCATGATGTACCATTTCTGAAGTTCTCAAATGTACTGGACCTTCTTCACAGAAACAATGAGATAGCTTATCCCTGTCTTACTCTGTGGACTTCAGTGGAACTATGTGAGGATGAATATGACCCAGTGTGCTTAAGTACAGTTACCTTTTTTTTTATTTTTTTGTTTGGCACAGTTTGAGATTTAAGTTAGCAGTACTTGGTTGTTCTAGCATGCCCCCAGGTCAGTCAGCTATCATTTCAGAGAACTGAAATAAACAGCACTCCAAATGTACATAGATATGTTCTGCTTTTTAACTTAAATTGCTGAGTAATTTGTGCCTAGGCTACATGGAAACGGGCACTTGAGTAATGAAGAAATGCTCAGGCTTTATAACATCATGGTTTAAAATATCTGTTAAAATGACATGATGGGTTCCTCTAGTAAAGAAGCAGTAATGCATGCAAGCTTTCTTTTGCTGTTACATCCTTTGTAATTTGCCAATGGTAGCATTGAATGGATTAAGCAGAAGCTACTTAAAAATACGTTGTAGATGAAATTTAATGACTTGTTAATCTGACTTGTTTGTTTGTTTGTTTGTTTTTTAAACACTCTTGGAAGTGAAGGACTGTGCAGGTAGGACAGTGGACCTTCAAACTTAGCAAGGGAGAGAGGAAGAATAATTGTTTAGCTAGGAGAGAACTCACAAAAATCTGACTGAATGAGGAAACTATAGCTTTGCATGGGTTGAGGCTTCTGCTGTACTATTTAATCAAAGTTCAAGGTATTGCATGCTTTTTGGAGTGTGTATATAAAATGCAATGTCAGGACAGAATTTACTGGCAGTGGAGAAAGCTAAACATCATGTGCTGCATTGCCAAGGGGTAAGCTCCTTGTCATATGATGAGCAAAAACCTTCACCACCTCACAGCATCCCGTTGCTGTCATGTCTCCAGACATGTCTGTGCTCTGTTACTGCTCTCAATTGAGTGTGATCACTTTGAAAGAATCTGTTTGCTCCAAGTGGGCTGCTATGTCTCTGCTCTAGTGATAAGAGAAGGTGTGGCTTTTAAAATGGAGGTACTTCTACCGAACACACATACCTTTCAGTGTACAAATTACATTTGGCTTTAAGCTGAAAGAAGACATTTGAATTGCATAGTAGAAAGAAATTATTCTCTGTGAGGGTGGTGAGGCACTGGCACAGGTTGCCCAGAGAAACAGCCCCATCCCTGGAAGTTTTCAAGCCATCAAAAACACATCTCACCAAGGTCTTTAGATAGCTTTTTGAGGGCATGATCTCCATAGCAGACCCAGTTTTAGTTGTGTTTTCAGGAATTGTTTTCCATGTTATTTAGGGTCACTCAGGGGATGCAGGAACATATAATAGCCAAAGTGAAGTAGGATTTCTGAACATGGTGCTCTGGGATTTAATGGCAGCATGGGTAAAAGACAGTTTATAACTGGGAAAGTACTTGTATAAATTATCTTAGAAGAAAACTGAACAAGCAGTGATCTCAAATGACTGTATTTTGTTCTTAGATATTAGTTTACATAACAGGCAGGGCACATGGTTAGAAGAACAGCATCCATTTTCCTTCAAAACTGAGTTCTCTGCACTGCCTAAGTCGATTTTCATATTTTCTTTGCTTTTTTTTGTCTTTCTCTGATCTTTCCATTCCTTTTTGAACAAGGATAACCTTATGATGGCATGCTTAAACCAAAGCTGAACTCCTCTTTCATTCTATTGCAGACATTGTGAGTGCCACTAAAAATGCGTATTGCTGAAAAGACTGATTTGCTAAGAATAATAACAGAGTAACACACACATTCCTTTCACAAATGTATTGTATATTGATTTTTTTAATTAATAGCTTCAATAAGTGTCAGCACTATTTTATTTTTCTTTTTTTTTCTTAATGTGGTCTTTACATTATCAGCCCAAGTATTAAGCATAAATTTCATGGGATTTTCTGGGCATGTTTTGTGTCTGTATCTAAGATATATGATATCAACTGGCAGTGATGGTTGAACTAATCAAACACTACTGACAAGTTAAAGCAAATTTTTAGGACTGTGAGATTTTCAGCATCTTCTCAGATACAGTATCTCATGACTGAAAGCAGTCCTTGACTGTCAAGTTTAAATACCAGATTTAAGACTTAATCTTTATGTAAGCAAAACACCCCAATAAAAATATATGTCTGTGTAAAGCCAAAAAGTCAGGTCCTCCCCTTAAACCTATCCTGAAACGCATGTGTGTGTTTGTTTATGGCCCTATCGCCATGGTATGTGAGTGATTACAACCAGTGGGAACCAAACATGACTCTTAACTGAACACACTTCTATTTTCTTTCTAATTTTTTTTTTTTTTTTTTTTTTGCTTGGCATTTGTTCCTTCTAGCAAACATTTTTAAAAACTCTCTTATTGCTAGAGGGAAAATTGACACCCTTTGCTTTCACGATGATACATTCCTAACACGTTTCCTTGAAGAGCTGGAAATGGTGCAAAAATCTGGTAAGATAAGTCTCTATAAAGCCTTGGAAGTCAAGCATTCCACTTTAGACATTTAAGACAAATGCATGGCAAAAACAAGTTGGGTTTTTTTAAGGTTTCTACTTAAAGTTCTGTGCCAAAGCTACAGTACTTATACATTTTCTAAATGTGTTTTAAGCAATAAGTTGTACAACATTTTTAGAACATGTGTTAAGCTATTTCTCTAAGAATGAAGCTCTTAACAAAACATAAGCACTCTGCATGAGATCTTAGCAGCGAAGTGCTTAAAAGATAAAGTAAGAATTGGTACCATGGGAAGAACACCAGCTGTAGAGCACACAGGTCCATTATGAGAAGTATGGTAGTGGGTAGGGAGAAAATGATTTAATCAGGAGTAAAACCAATTTTATTATAAGGGCACGCAGGGGGTGTGGCACCATAGTGAGAGGGACATTTCAAAATATCTGACAGATTTCAACAATGTGAAAACCCACCCCGTTCTTTAAAGTGACAGTAAACCCCATCAGGTCTCTCTTTTTGATGCTATTGTTAACAGTTGACTGTTTAAAGCTGGCCTGCTAAGATGCTGTCGATCTAGTTCAATAGCGTGTGGCAAAATAAAAGGCTAATTGTTGAAATACGATCAATCAAATATGATCTCAGAGTCTAAAGAAGATCCCCTCTGCTAACTCATTTGAGATCAAATCATCATTTTTATGATTGAGGTAATTCAATTTAAAAAAAAAAAAAAAGAAGCTTGAAACCAAAGAAGCAAGAAAGACAACTAACTGAAATGCACAAGTCTGCCTTTGTTCCAGCTTTGTCTCACATTACTTCAAGTTAAGAAATTGGGTGCATTCCTTTGTTTGTATACATTTCCTGAATCCAGGAGTTTAAAAGCATTTAATAATATTTATTACATAAAAATTTAAAGATGACTTCATTGTGAATAAGATTTTCTGTCCAAAAGTAATCTCCATAGTGAAAAAACTATTGCATTAAAGTACCAATGATCTGGAGTTGTGGGTGTCCATGTGTCTCAAATACTTTTACCATTTTGTTTAACAACATTTCAATAAAGACACTGTTCTTGAAGTGAACTGAATTGGTAAACGTGAAATTTCAGTGACATTTAGTGAAACATTACAGAATTATGTTGCTTCAAATTAAATTTTTTCAATAGCTTTTATAATTGTTCCCCAAGTTGCATTCAGACTGAAATTTTCTAAAAAAGAGATTCGTAGCACATGCGAAAAAAGCAAACTCCAGTTCTGGAGCAACAGATCTTGGAGAAAGTGTGTGCCATGTTGGCTTGGACTAATAAGGATTTGTACTTTCCTAGAGTTTTATATAGATTATGATCTCACTGTTTATTATATTCTAACAGTATCACAATACCAGAATTAAAAAGAAAAAAAAAAACAAGACCAAAAGAAATAGAATAATCATCCAATCTTGTTTTATTTTTATTAGAAACTCTATTTTAGGATTTAGTTTCTTTTATATTTAAATTCCTTAGCTCAGTCAAGCTTCAAAAGAAAATGTTTTTTTGTTTGCAAAACAGTTTTGTAAGCACTTGTGGTTTGTCTTTAGTGCGTTATCATTTTTGACAGCTTTGCATAGCCTAGGTAGGCCAACAGGGGTCTGTCTAATATTGTTGCTGGGCAAATCTTCCTCCCAGAGATGAAAACCAAACAAAATATATTTAAAGCAGTAAGATGGAATTAATATCCTTTCTCTCACAGTATTCTATTCCTTGCTGACATTACATTCAGGCAAAAAAGGAGAAAAGCGTTACCCATTATTCCCTTGTACATAGCAAGGCTAACACATGTAAACCAATAACTCATTTTCTATTGCCATGTTTAGCATATGTCTCCTGTTGGCTCAGCAAGGCCTTTAGGCCGGTCCCTTGAGCCGTCCATCGTTGGCAACTCGTAGCCCCTCGGCCTCAAAACCAATAGCTTTGAATCATGTTGAGCTGTGATGCTAATTTTCATACTGATGCATTATGGGAATAAATGTATCTGACATACTGTGTCAATGGTACTGTCTCTTTGTGTCTCTTGTTTTTTGTTAGCTGCATTCCTACAGATGGTATTCCATTGAAAATGTTCTCTTCCTACAAAAAAAAAAAAAAGAGAAAAAAACCCATGCACAGCACCAAACCTCTAGGTGCAGAAGGCTGTTAACGGTTGCTGATGATAGTAGGCAAACATTAACATAATAATTAGTGTCTTGTAATTGTTTCATTAAAACCAGTTGTTCCATTTCTCCTCGTGTTTTCCCAGAAGAGAAGCTGAATTTGGATGACAGCCAGTGGGAGGACATCCACGTTGTCACCGGAGCACTCAAGATGTTTTTCAGAGAGCTGCCTGAGCCGCTGTTCCCATACTGCTTCTTTGAACAGTTTGTGGAGGCGATAAGTAAGTACATCAGATACAGCAGAAGCTAGTGAAATATCCTATTATATAAAAATAATAATAAACTTAAAAATAGAACAGAGGCATCTCAGTTCTGACTCACCTTCCGTTATTAATGATCCTGCCTTTTTATTGGTTTTAACTGCCTTTTATATCATGCAGCCTTTAGTTATTTAAGCAGAGAAAAAATACCAACTTAGTGATTTATAAATTTTGTATATGCGATTTAATGGTAGCACCTAAAATGGTTTAGGAAAGGAATGAAAATGTGTATTCATTCAAAATGTGCTAGGCTGATAATCCATATAACCCCAAACATGAGAGAGACTAATTGTGAATCATGTTAGAAGTTGCTGTATTTATATTAATCAGAATGAAATGTGTGTGTTTTGTTCCACAAGGTTGCAGACTCTTGCCTTATAGTGATCACAAAAAGAATGCAAAAACATTCATGCTCTTATTTTTATATCTACCTTTGCTTTGCTTTGCTTTTTTTTTTTTAAGTTGGCAAGCATCAGAAGCATTTTCAAAGTCCAAGGCATTTATTCTGTTACGTGTCTGAGTTTTGTGTGCTGCAAACTGTCTCTGTATTTAATATACGTAGGTGTATTCTGTAAAATTATCAGCTTGGAAAAACTTTACTAAAAAAGAGTGATTTGGGGGTTTACTTCTTTTGGAAAATGAGGGGGGGGGGGGGAGGGGGAAGAAGAGGGATAGCTTAAAGTGAAAAAGCCAAGTAGGAGATTAATTAAAGATCCAAAAGAGAAAAATCTCTAGGAAGAAAACAAACCAAATAAGGTACTTCGAGATCTGTTTTCTGAAGGATGAGCATGCATATTTGCCATTACTGTTAATGAGAGCTGTGTGTGCACATGCGCAGCTGTCAGAGAATACGAAACTCTTAATGTACAGCCCACTTTAATTCTACATTCATAAGAGTCTTTAGTTCAACTAAAGCTTTTCCAGACCGAGCATCAGATATAATGAGGTTAAACACATCTCACAAGATCATTCCCTTCTGGGTTATTTAAAGATGCAGTGTAATTAAATGCATAAGGTAAAGAAATGCATTACCTGAAAGTTTACTCTTGGTAGCTCACTTTCTTTTTTCAAAGGAAACTAGGTGGAGAACATCATCTCTCTAGTTTAAGTTCTGCTTGTGGAATCCCAACAGTGCTAAAAGGAGAAAAACAGCAAAGAATTTCTTAAATGTTCACCTTTAGTTTCTGTGATGCACTGGGATAAGATGCTTATTGAAGCACCAGAACTTGAAGATGCCTTTTGGGTGGTTCTCCATCCACCTGCTATGTCATCTTGGAAAGAGCAAGACACAGTGCCTTAAGCGGATGCAAACAGTTCATGGGGCACAGCATGGCATACCATTCATGTCTCTTCTTATACACCTTATTCTGCAGTTGAATGTTTAATACCTACCTTCTGCCATTATCACTTTCTCTTCCTGATAATCCGCCATCATACTGGTCTTCTGGGGTTAAATATAGTCCTCCTTCCGTTATTTTCATTGCCCTTTCCATAAATTTCCATTGCTCTTTGGTGAACGCTTTGGCTGAGCAACCATTATTGTATTCTGAAGAATGGAGGACACCATGATCCCATCCTAGGTGTTGTCTTCTGCTCTCATCTTCTCTACTAATGTCCAAGTCAGCGTGATTTGAAAACCTGTGGTGGCCCAGTGGAGAAGTTTCTGATAGTACAAATAACAGGTAAACAGTAACAGACTTGAAAATTAAGTTAGAAAGTTTGTCAGGAAGAGACTGTCTACTAAAATGTTAGTATTCATGAGTGAGAAATTAATGTCCCTTTTTTCCTATTTGAATTATTATTAATTCTTATGATTTTGAGAGCCATTGTGCACATTGATAAGCTAATGAACAGTCATTTATAGAGGGATTTTTAGACAACTTATTCCTAGGAAGAAATGCTAGCACTCTTAAAACATGTTTCACACTATTTCAAAACCCTAATTCTTGTTGCTTGCTTTACTGCACATCAGGGTGATTTCCACCTAATCCAACTGTCTAAATTAATCTACGATTTCCAATCAATCTTCTCTTTATTTGGCCTTTACTGCCACAGTATCTACAAATCTGTATTCTTACCGACTCTACTTAAAAAAGCATCTATAAGAGCAATTGGGTGTTTTCAGGTTTTGTGGAGCTCTTTTAATAGTCCTGAGGCAAAATAAAAACTCTGTTTTCTTCAATATCATTTCCATTGCAGCTGATTCGTTGGCCACTTTGTGCTAATTCCTCTCACTGGTCAGCAGTGAGCTGCTAGAAAATTTCCTTTCTTCTTCGGGATGATGAGAAAAATAAGCTGTTGTAGCTCTGTCTTTTCTGTCCAGTCCTCAAAAAAGGGAATTATTAGCATGCAGGGCATGGAAATGCAGTACAGTTAGGAGCTTTTAATAATGCCAGAAATGAACCAAACTGATGATGGCTAGGAAAAAAGTAATTAGGACACAATCCCACACTGCCATGATGATTACATCCTTTGTCCAGCACTGAACATCCCTTAATAAGAGTAATACGTTTGGTAAGTAAGGTGAAGTAGTCTAAAAACTTTTTTGTAGTAGGTAGTAACAAGTTACCAATAATATTTCTTTGGTATTTAATCATTTAGCTGTAAGTTTCAGGAGGAAAGGGTACCCAGGAAGTGCCATGGACTCCTTGTGTTGATGCTATTTTAAAAGTTATGAGAAAAAAACTCTATAGTAACATTAGTATTACTTTTCCTAGACAATGCCATTTTAATTCACATCTTTACTATGTTCATGGAAACAAAATTTTAGAGTACTGTGTATTAGGCAAAGTGCCTGCTCTCCACCTTCAATTTCCCGTATAAATAACTTTAGATATGGACATAATATTAGAACAATTTAGATATGTCTAGAATATTAGAAGATAATTCAGGGTGTTATAGAATCTCAGAATTCTGTTTTCCAGGCTGAAGCTGGATAACTACTGTTCGTATAGCTTATATCAGAGAATTTATAATGGAATAAATGGATAGGCCACAAGACCTCTGACCTAATACTTATTTTGTTTCTTTAGGATTTGGGAAGAAGTATTTTTCAAGGACTTTGTCTATTATATTGCTGGCAAGTCATTTTGTGGTATTTTGGATGAAATATGCACTTCTAAATTGGGCCCAAATGCTGCTATGAAGTCAGGTTCAGCCACACTTAAATTACTTATCACCGCAAATAGTTCTATTGATTTTCTGAAAGATCAACAGACGTGGTTCAACAGATTGTCTGCAAGTAAGATTGTGCTTCATGTGAGTAAGGTGGTAGGAGTGCCAATAACTGAAGCACTTAATCAATTTATTTAACTGCCATTCAACCCCCATGGCCATACAAACTTATGCCAAGACTTCAGCCACTGAAACAAAAAAATCTACACCCAAAATCTGTTAAGAAATATTAGAAGTTAAATGTGTTAGTTGATTATAAATTTTTGTTTTAATTGAATTAGATTTCTTGAAAGGTCTCAGACAGAAGGCATGGGAAAAGAAGAAATTGTACTACTGTCATGGTTTAAGACCAGCTGGTAACTCAGAACCATGCAGCTGCTCTCACCCACCCTCCTCTACTCCCCCCTCTGGGTGGGACGAAGAGGAGAATTGAAAGAATGTAAACCCCATGGGCTGAGAAAAGAACAGTTTAATAACCAAAGTATAATATAAAGCTACTACTACTACTAATGACATGGGAAATAACAAGGGGAGAGAATATAAAACTAAAAGGGAATATAAAACTAAAGAATATGATTCACAATACAGTTGTTTACCACCCAATGACCAATACCCAGCTTGACCCAAGCAGTGACCAGCTCCTTCCAGGAAACTCCCTGCAGTTTATATCCTGGGCATGAAGTGCTGTGGTATGGAATACCCCTTTGGCTAGTCTGGGTCAGGTGTCCTTTCTCTGCTTCCTCCTGGCTTTCCCTACCCCTCCTCAGTGGCAGAGCATGAGAGACAGAAAAGTTGATCAGAGTAAGCACTACTTAGCAACAGTTAAATCATTGGTTTAATTGTTATCAGCAATGTTCTCAGACTAAAGCCAAAACACAGCACTGTACCAGCTACTAGGAAGGAAAATAACTATTGCAGCTAAAACCAGGACATCTACTACAGTCTTCAGTGCAATTATGGCTGATATCCACAGAATAGGGAATATTCAAATACAGGCTGGTCCTTCCAGATTTTTTCAGCTGCAGAAAGCCGTATAGACTATGAATCTCTACAGACAATGCATCTGTCTAACTACAGCTACAAAAAATCCCAACTGATATTCCACAAAGTAAAATTCCACCCTGTTCCCAAAGCTGTAACATCTGTCTCTGGTTTAGAAGGCTTGACTTCAGGTCTTTGATTTTCTCTGCCACAGGTTGGAAAGATTACTACATTGGAAAGGTTTTTTCAATGAGGTCTAGTGATTATGACTTCGTTTCAGTTCTTTATCTCTGATATGAATGTAATATGTGTCATGTAAATACTGTAGATAAATGATTTATTTTTTAAAATGCACACATATACACGTATATACTCTAAATAGAAATTTTTTCAAGAATTATAATCATTTTGCAGAGTTTTGTGAATAAAGGTATCTGTTACTGCTGTGGGTTTCCCACTTAAAGCAGATGAATACAGAAATGAGATTAATAAAAACGTAAAGTTGGAAAATCTGTCTTGCAGGCATTCAAGTGGAATCCACAACCTTATATGAGATACCTCAAGCCTCAGCATAAGAAACAGAAAACATGGAATCCACATCAGCCGCCAAGTCCCAAGAGAAGGGGCAGCATGTGTCGAGTACCAGATCTAGTTAGCATGTATTGCTTAGGTCCTGGCAATCCCCCAAAGGGTCAAGCCTGACCAGGCACTTAGGCAAAGTAATCCCCCATCTCTAGAGCACAAGATTTTCAGCTCTGGCAGAAAAATAAACATTCCTCTGCGCAGGGAAAAGTAAAGCCATAGGC